TCTTGGATGCACATCTCTCAACTCAAACAATGTCTCACCATCCAACTGGACCGCAACACTGACAGGTGACCTCAAGAAAAAACTTCCTCAAGTTGCCAACAAACAGACAAGTCTTCAGATGTAGACACTTTTCTCAAGACCAGTGGAACAAGTAACTCAATAGATGTTTTAAACATTCTTTTGGTAATGTTAACATCATATTAGCTGATAAAAAAATGCATGGTATCATAAAAACAAGATATTATATATCCTCTTAAGGATATAAAAACTTCATCAATAAGCTAGATGAGATAGCCTGATACCATCATTTAAGAGGAACACACACAAACATCAGGAGGTGCATACATCATCAGACATTCAAAAAGGATTCAATATTAGCTATAACAATGCCAATTATGCCAGAAAAATACAATGGCACAGGAACTTAGGATATAAACTTCAGCTCATGACTAGTAAGGCTGAGAGGGAAATACAAGTCCATGATTCAGTTATGGGTAGTGCAAACAGTTAATGCTTTCAGCTGTTCATTGGAAGGTTGGAGGTTCATGTCCATCTTGAAAGAAAGGCCTGGCAATGTACTTCTAAAAAATCAGCCACTGAAAATACTGTGGAGCACAATTGTACCGTGACACACATGGCATCATGATGAGTTAAAATCAACTCGATAGCAACTGGTTATGCAGTAATAGTGATGTGAAGCAACATCTCCAGGTTAGCAGAAAAATCTCTGTGTAGACCTACCACAGTTTGTCTGTACTGACAGAAATCAGAGGACTCCACACTAAAGTCAGCAGTAAAGGCTTAAATTAGGTATATCTTCTGAGTTAAATGAATTCATCACCTACTCCCAAGTTACACCCTTGCCCCTTTGCTAATTTCTAAAATTCTTTTAATAGGAGAAAAAGCTTTTCATTGCATCATTAGAGTGCTTAAAATTAAATCTACTTTAAAAATAATACTTTAGCAATAAAAGTTTTTAATTTAAATATTACTTAAATTACCTTTAAGGCACTATTGTACAATAGTTCTCCATATTGATGGGGGAAAATATAAGTGGGCACGACATATAAAAAAAGGTAAGAAGGGAGAAGAAAGGGAAGGATACATATAGAAAGAGACAGAAGATAGCTTTTTCAGACCTAACAGTGTTCGTTGGTGTCAGTCTAATTTAAGTAAATTAGAACAAAACAGCCTGTACACTGAAGTACTTTGTTTTTACAGCTGCAAACTCAGGCAGTTCAGCATTATGTGATATACAGAGATGATTTTTGGCTTATTTTGTTTCCAAATTCTTATTACAAACATTTTATTCCAACATTTTATTCTAAACATTTTGAAACACAGTAAAGATGAAAGAAAGTTGAATATTGATTGCTTGGATCAGAATCACAATAGAACATCCTGGAGAGAGTAGGAGAAAACTGTACAACAAAATTCAAAATCATGAAAAAGACCAGGCTTGCTGGTCTGATAGAGACTGGTGGAACCTTTGAGACTATGGTCCTCAGACACCCTTCAAGCCTGGAACTGAAGCCGGAATCACCTTTCAGTCAAACAACAGATAAGTCTATAAAGTGAATAATAACACCCAGAGGAACGTACTCCTTGGAACAAACAACCATATGATGAAAAGGGCAGCACTTGCCCTGAAACAAAGTTCAGAAGGCAGCAAGAGCAAGAAAGAAGAATGAATGGAAACAGGGAACCGAGGGAACAAATGGGAAGAGTGTTATTACATTGAAGGGACTGCAACTAATGCCATGAAACAAAATGCGTACATACTGTTGAATGGAAAACTAATTTGCCTCTGTAAATGTGCATGCAAACCACAATAAAATGTTTTTTGTTTCAAATAAATAGAAAGTAAGGTGAAAATAAAATGAGTATTTTCTATCTGGATTCAATAAATTTTAATGTTTTGTCATATTTTCTTTATCTATTATGTATATGGAATGTATTTATTGTACTATTTTAATTTAAATATATTTACTATCTTTGGTAAAACCACCTTAAAATAAATTGCAAACATCAGGAACCCTAAATACTTCATGAATCTCCTAAAAGAACATTCTGCTATTAACCATAGTATCTTACTGATTCCAAATAAAAGAAAAAAATAATTCCCCCACCATCATCCAATATCTAGTCCATATTCAAACACTCATTTGCTCCCCAAAAGCTATTTTTGATAGATTTCTTTTTTTCTGTTTTGTTGTGTGTTTTTAACAGGAACTAATCAAGTCCACATACTGCATTTGGCTGTTAATTGCTGTTATTTCTTCAAAAAACAATCCCTCTATCTTCTTTTTGATGACAAATTTTTTGAAGACTTTATAGGATTTTTGCTTTATATGCTAGATATGTAACAAGGTTATTTTTAAAGCACTAGCACCTTTTAAGGAGCTCTGGTAGCATAGTGCCTAAGACACTTGACGGCTAACCAGAAGGCTGGCGGCTGAAACCCACCAGCCACTCCTCGGAAGGAAGATGGAGCAATCTACTTCCGTAGTTATACTACCTCGGAAACCCAAGGAGGGGTTGCTATGAGTCTGGTGCAACTTGACGGCACATAACAACAACAACAACAACAACAAGCACCTTTTAGTAATGAAAGAGCTTAGTTACTGAGGGCTTCACTAATGGTGGGGTCATTCACTACATGAAATAATTCTCAGGTCAACTACAGGGAAAACAATCTGGAATTTTAATATCAACAGTAAAGTTAAAATAATATTCTATTTCCATGATCACATGAGACTTTTAGATATGATGTTAATAGTCTACATTTCCTCATGAATCTCTGTGTTCTCATCATTAAAGTACTTAGTGGCAAAATAATCTGTAAGAAACAAACAACAATCAGTGTCATAAATAGGATTATGCCCAAGAATTCTGGACACTTTATTTTGTCAGATTTATATTCCTTGGAATATCTTATCACTGAAGCCAACAACAGCATTTTTTTTTTTGGCCAAGAACAGAAAAGAGGATATAAGAAAGAACATTTGGTAGTTTACTCTAAACCCTTTTCAAAAATTTTCAGAAAGTACATATAAAATTGAGGCAATAAGATCTGACTTCTACTACTTAAATACTTTCTATTGTTTCTGAGTGATACTTAGAAGGAAAATGAATAAAAATTTCAAAGTAATAAAACCATGAAAAAGAAACTGGATTACAATAGAGATCTGATCTAATGCTAGCCACAGGGTACATGTCTTGGTACAAAAAGGACGGTAGACTCTTACACCCTAACCCCCACTTTTTTTTTTTTAAAAAAGCATTCTCTAAAAACATGTTTAAATACCTTAAAAGTCAACAAGTGCCCAGTATTCTCAGGAAGGGCATGAAACAAAACATATGACATGATCTTATCCTTATTATATAAAATCACAGTGTTTAGGAACTTAAAATATATGATTCAAAATATATATGTATGTATTTTTTTCATTCAGTAAATCCCTATGGCTTACTCTGAATAAAGCCTTTTTAGAAGTCTGTTAAATTTCCAGTAAAGGTCCAATTCTCAATGAAAAACTGTAATTGAAAGACAATAATTAAAAAAAAAAAACAAAACCCACCAAACTCACTGCCATTGAGTTGATTCTGACTCATAGTGCCCCCATTTGGGTTTCCAAGGCTGTAAATCTTTACAGAACTAGACTGCCCCATTGTCCTTTCGTGGAGCAGCTGGTGGGTTTGAATCACTGACCTGGTTAGTAGACAAATGTCTTATCCACTATGCCACCAGAGTTCCTTTAAAAAAACCAAACCAAACCCGCTGGAATAGTCGATTCCGACTCATAGCGACCTCCATTGGGTTTTCGAGACAGTAAATACTTATGGTAGCAGATTGTCCAGTCTTGCTTCTACAGAGTGGCTGGTGGGTATGAACCACCAACCAGTCAGATGTCTTAGTCACTGTACTACCAGACCTCATTAGAGCTCCTTTCAAAAAAAAAAAAAAACCTAACTCACTAGCGTGGAGTCGGATCCAACTCATAGTGATCTCTCCTTGGGTTTCTGAGGCAGTATGACTATGGAAGTAGATTGCCTGACCTTCCTTCTGAAGAGTGGCTGGTGGGTTTGAACCACCAGCCTTTTGGTTAGCAGTCACATGCCTTAGGCACTATGCCACCAGAGCTCCCCTTAGAGCTCCTTTAGTGGGTCTTAAATGAAGTACACAAGAACAGTGTAGGCAAGGGTTATACTAATTCTAACATCATTCACACTCAAGAAATGATTCTCAGGTAGATCAACTGTAGTGAAAAAACCTGAATTTTAATGTCAAATAAAGTATTTTTTAAAAATAAAGCTATTTGTGGAAATGAAATAGCCTGTAGCTTATATGTCAAATCAAATTGGTTTTTCAGTTTGTCAGACTGTGGTAGCTTGGGTGTTGCTCCTGGTATTTCAAATACCAGTAGGGTCATCCATGGTGAACAGGTTTCAGCAGAATTTCTAGATGAAGACAGACTGGGAAGAAGGACAGGGCCATCCACTTCAGAAAAAATTGGCCACTGAAAACCTTATGAATAAGTATCAGTGAAACACTGTTTGATATATTACCGGAAAGCTTCACGAAATAACTATTTAGTCAGTATCACATACCTGTGATCTAAGGCAGTAGTGGTTCAATAGTTGAATTCTCACCTTCCATGTGGGAGACTCGGGTTGGATTCCCACTTAATGCGCCTCACATGCTGCTACCATCCATCTATCAGGGGTGGCTTAAACGTTGCTATGATGCTGAATATGTTTCAGCAGAGCTTCCAGAGTAAGCTGGACTAGGAAGAAAGGCATGGCTACCTATTTCTAAAAATCAGCTAATGAAAAGCCTATGGATTACAACAGTCCAATCTGCAATTGATCATGTGGACAGAGCAGGACCAGACAACAATTTGCTTCATTTGTGCATTCAGTTGCCTTGAGTTGGCTCGACAGTGGCTAACAACAACATATACCAGTGATAAAGAGAAACAGAGAATAAGTTGTATTACCTTGTTAAAGTATCTGATGATTTTTCTAATTCCTCACATTCCATGTGAAACACACTAGAAAAAGAATCCTAAAAACAGAGCAACAACAAAGACTGAGAAGTAAGTCTGACAAGGTAATGAAAACTGTCTATACACAGACATACACGTCTGTGGAACTGACTAAGCCATCAGAACTTGTCATATATTTTTACTTTCTTTCAGACTAAACTGACCTGGCACTGATTTCATGACATCTTCAAAGCTGTTTCCTATGACTAAAGACCTTGTTCATATTGTTGGTGACAAAAATGCTTATCCAAGTACCATTTGGTTTATTTTTTCTATTAGGTGATAATAGATATATTTACTTCAAAATTTCTCCATGCTTATTCCAAAATCCTCAATTTTTGACTTTTATGCATGTACTGATTACTGTTGTTAACAGCCTAGGTAGAGAAGGTCTTTTTGAAAAGATCTATCATTCAGTAAAACTTTATGAGATCATTACATTAATTGTGAAAATTCCAACAACATAGAGAAATATTTTTGAAGTTTACATTTAATAAAACAGCATGTAAATTTGCATCCATGCTATATACAATTAATTGTATAAAGAAGTTGAAGGAAACAAAGAAATATGACAATGTTAGTTTAATTTTAGGATGAAAGAAATGAGTAATTTTTAAGTATCTTGCTTACAGTTTGATTTTTGCTCATTATGTTAAAATATTTTTTATCAACTAATAATTGTTAGGGGAGCTCTGGTAGCATAGTGGCTAAGACACTTGCCTGCTAACCAGACGGCTGGCGGTTCAAACTCACCAGCCACTCCTCGGAAGGAAGGTTGGGCAATCCTACTTCCGTAGTGATACTGCCTCGGAAACCCAAGAAGGGGTCGCTATGAGTCGGGGCCGACTCGACGGCACATAACAACCACAAAAATAATTGTAATATGGAGACATCAAGACATCCAATCCCTTTTCTAATCTCTGAATGACTTTTCTAATTACTGAATTGCTAGAAAGTACATAAAATATATTAACAGGCATATTGTTGAGATAACGTTTCTAAGCTCTGCTTATCCAAATAAGTTGCTACCGTGATGGGTGTTAACAGGGAGAAGTATGCACTGAATGTTAATTGAAATGATATTTAACTTGTTTAAAAGGAGTGCCTCATGCATTACTTTAAAAAATTAAATGCTAAAGAGAGGTCATTGAGAAAAATGATAGAATGACATATTACATTAATGAGTTTTGACCTGAACTTTAAAAGGATGGCTACTATCTTCTAATCATCTCTCACTTCAACATATGAATAATTTTATAACTGATTGAAAATATGAAATAATATTTGAGAATACTGATTATCTTTTAGCCCATTAAATTCTCATGTGATATGCTATTAATGAGAACTTTGTATTAATCAACATATCTCTTGTGGCACACAAACACACACATGATTCAGATGATTTTGGGTCATACTGTACAGTCTTAATAGCAAAAACAATGAAAATATTTTAATATAAATTAAGTATTAAATAATTTTTATTATTCTGCTTACCCCCCAAAAAATCAATTTAGTATCAAATATGGATTATAACTGACCTATACATACAAATGGTAAGCCCACTCTCTTCCCTTTTCACCTACTAAGGAAGAGCCCATTCCGAGGGAATTAATGGAAAAAACAACTACATCTAAAAGTAATAATCCAGAAGGTTAAGAAGGGAAAGAAGATGCATAAAGGAAAACTGCCTTCAGCAGAGGTCCTGATTCTAACAGCAAACTCAAGGAGGTTGCCCTGCCTATAAGCTACCCACCCTCTATAACAACACTCCATCTATCCCCACACATCTGAAAATGTTACTTCACATTACACATCAATGGATTGAAATCTACCAGTTATAACAGTTCAACAGTTTGCCATTGTTGGTAAAGGACTTGGGTCAATAGCCACCTTTAGTGACTTGGCCTCTGTTGAACCATGCCATCTGGTTTTTAAAGAATTCTTGGTAGAAGAAAAGGTTTACATCTAACTTATTCAAGGTGGAGGTCCACCTGTTCATAGCAGCAGGGCACCACTATTTCTGACCTTGGAAAACCAGAACACTGTGATGATAATGTATTTTTCCATCAAGAGAGTGTAATCACTAACAAAAGCAGGACACAGATATTCCCCATGCTGGGGAACAGAAGTGAAAGAATGCATTAAAGATACCCTCCAACCTCTTCTCTATCCCTCTTCAACCAGAGTAGCCCATACTGTGATCACCTTTACATCAGTACCACACACAGTTCTGTTTCAGAGAAGGTTCTGAGGCTAAACGAGATTAAAAAGCAGTGCTTTGAAGTGCTTTCCATTTTTCTAAAAATATAAAAATCATACTCTGTACTCACGGAGCAATCTTCATCCACTATGAAAATGGTGCATTTCTGCACCTGCATGAAAGAGATAATAGTGGCAGCTATTTTCTTCAGAATTACTTCTAATGATTGTTGTTCTTCAAAAATTAAGCTAGCAAGGTCAAGCAGCACCTAGACAAAAAAGAATTAAGTTTGTTATTTATTAATTTTTTTATAATTATTAAAAATGAGGGAAACCTAACAAAACAGGTACAACAATGGCATTTAACATATTAAAGATCATGAAGATGGCACAGGACTGGGCAACGTTTGGTTCTGTTACAACACATAGGGTTGTTGTGAGTTGGAGTCAAGTTGATGGCAGCTACCAATATAATTATTAAAGCAATGTAACAATATATATGGGTTACAAGTTGTTTATATATAATTCAACAACTATGATAAGGTTTGAGTTTACATTCAAATATAAATATGAAAATCAGTGCTTACTAATAAACATGGTCAAGATCATAGATTCTGAAGCCAGATTATTCAGTTCTTAATCTTGGTTCCCTTTGCTTGATAAGTTTGTGCCTTAGGCAAGTTTCTTGAAAATAGAGATAACGATAGTACCAAAATCACAGGGCTACTGTGAGGATTAAATAGATTAATATTTGTAAAGTATTTTGAACAGTTATCTGGTACATAATACACACTATCATTGCTATTGTTCCAAACTACTGATATCGACAATTATAAAAATTAAAAACATTTGAGTAAAAAGAGAACTTACAGATTGGGAAAAAGTATTCAGCAATGACTTATCTGGCAAGAGACTTATCTCTAAAATTTATTGAAAACTCCAACACCTCAACAACAAAAAGACAAAAATTCCAACTACAAATGGACAGAAGACATGAACAGGCACTTTGCCAAAGAAGACAGTCAGGTGGCCACAAACACAAAGAAATGTTCGCTATCATTAGCCATTAGAGATGCAAGTCAAAACAACAGTGAGATACCATCTCACTGCAGCATTAATAGCAAAGTTCAACAAGACAGAAAATAACAAATGCTAGTGAGAATATGGAAAGATTGGGACTCTCATACAACTGCTCGTGGGACTCTCATACAACTGCTCGTGGGACTCTCAAAATGATACAATTACTATGGAAAACAGTGCGGTGATTCCTTAAAAAGTTGGAAACAAATACCATTTGACGCAGAAATCCAATTACTAGGTATTTATCCTGAAGAAGTGAAAGCCAAGACATGAACAGATACATGCAGACCCAAATTCAGTGCAGCACTATTCACAATACCAAAGATATGAAGTAACAACCTTAGTGCCCATCAATAGAGGAATGGATAACCAAACTATGGTACATACATACGATGGAATACAATACAACACTAAAGAATAATGTGGAATCCATGAAGCACCTCATAATGTGGATGATCTTATTCGACATTATGCTGAGTGAAATAAGTCAATCACAGAATGACAAATATTGTACTAGTCCACCATTGTAAAAAGTCACGGAAAGATTTACATATGATTGGAAGCTCTCTTTGTTGGCTACCAGGGATGGGAGGGAAGGGGGGGGACAACTTCTAGATAGGTAGATACAAGTATTGATTTAGGTAAAGGTAAAGGTAATATATCAAAAACGAGTGACAACACAATAACACTAAGAAAAAGGAAGACACAGAGAGGTGCACACGAGGGACAGACAACAAAGATAAACACTTTTACATACACAATACTGTATTACTACTAATAACAAATATTAATCCACAGGTGGAGACATAGGTGGACAAAAATAAAGAAATAAAAACATGTTTTATGAAGCATAGCAAATATTGTCCAAAGTAAACAATCTTTTAAGAGTTGCTTTTGTGTTTTTTCCTCTAATATCTCTTTCTTCTGCATTCTATAAAATTTATCCTAATCCTACACATTTATACAATGAGGAGGTAAGAGAAGTTCTATTACAGAAAATTTCTTGGAAGGCTACCATACCCTAGCTGAAGACTGAAAAATGAGTAGGAACTGATCAATGAAGTTTTTCAAGGCACATTTTTGTGATTAGAGAAGGTGTCCAAGGTGGGCCCCAGACCTGGGCAAGATCTGGCTGTCTCCCTTATGATGTCTTGGTGAGTAGGTACATACATACTGGACTGGGGGGGTGGACATAGACCATACATTAGATGACACAGAGGGGTCTCCCAGGGACCTGGCACCACCATCCCCCGCTTCCTACCAGCTGCTGCTAGCCCTATGTGGTTGTGCGTTCCACTTGCCTCCCATCCAGAGGCTGACTCTAAAGCCCTTTATCCAATGTTGCTAACCCTTGGCTCTCCTCTGAATATTTTTTCAGGTTAAAAACAACTGAATTGAGAGAAAGCAGCAAACTCTTAAGTTTTGATCAAATTTTTAAGAACAAAAAGTATAAAGAGTAGAACTGGGGAGATAAAGTTGTAGAATTAAGCAGGGAAAAAAACCCAAAAGCCCTGTATGTCTTGTGAAGCAGTCTGAACTTAGAGATGTACTGCAGGAGGGAAGGGACATGAACCCATTTGTGTTTATAGAAATAAAGAATGGATTAAAGGGGGTAAGCATGGAGCAGGGAGAAGTCAGGAGGCAAAAGGTTGACCATAGGCCTTTACTTCCTCTTCCTCCTAATAACTTACCAAAATGAGACCAAAGAAATGAAAATAAAAATAATAACAGTAATAACTTAAAACTTACAAACTCAAAGAGAACTAAGGAAGGTCAGTGAATCTGGAATTGCTGTGCAGTCAATTTCAATTCATTAGGACACCTTGTGTACAAAGTCAAACTGCACTTCCTAGGGTTTACAAGTCTGTGACCTTTCAGAAGCAGATCGCCAGGCCTTTCTTCTGAGGTGCCTCTGGGTGGGTTCAAACCATCAAGCTTTTGGTTGATAGTCAAGTGGCTAACTGTAGACAGTAGACACTGCCAAATTTTTCTCCAAAATGGTTATACCAATTAATACTCTCACCAGCAAAGTATAATAATTTCCATTTTTATTCAATAATACTTGGTAATTATCTGATTTTTAAATTTTGTCCAGTAATGGTTATTGAGTAGAATTCCCTTTTTGTTTTATTTATAATGTCCCTAAATATTAATGAGGTTAAACATCTTGACATATATTTATTAGCCCTTTGGATTTTGGTTCTATGAACTGTCTGCTAATATCCTTTGGCAATTTTTCTATTGAGTATCTTTTACTTAGTGATGTGTGGGAGTACACTGTAAATTCTGGATAAACCAAAAACCAAACCCACTACCATCAAGTTGATTCACAATCATAGTGACCGTATAGGACAGAGTAGATCTGCCCCATAGGGTTTCCAAAGCTATAAATCTTTATGGAAGCAGACTGCCACATCTTTCTCTGGTGAAACAGCTGGTGGGATCAAACTGCTGAAGTTTTTGCTTAGCAGACAAGCCACTGAGCCACCAGCCTTCCTTAAATTCTAGATACTATTGTTAAAATTGAAATGATATCAAAGATTCACCAGACATTTCTGTGAACGTTTCCAACTTAAAAGAGACAGAGTGAATCAAACAGACAAAAACTACAAAGAAAGAAAATTCTAGAAACTAAAGAGAACTTAAAAAGCTCAATGTTAGAATTATTAGCAAAAGCTGAGGAAGGCTCCAAGAAAGTAAAATTAAAAGAAAAGAAAGTAGGACAGATGAGACATAAGAATCAATTCTGGAAGTCTAAGATCTTATCAAAGGAAGCCAAAGAATTGATGCCTTTGAATTATGGTGTTGGTAAAGAATACTGAATATACTATGGATTGCTGAAAGAACAAACAAATCTGTCTTGGATCATGTATAGCCAGAATACTCGTTAGGAATGAAGATGGTGTACTTTGTCTTGTACTTTGGTCATGTTGTCAGGAGGGAACAGTCCCTGGAGAAGGATATCAAGCTTGGTAAAGTGGATCGTCAGCAAAAAAGAGGAAGACCCTCAACAAGATGGATCGATACAGTGGCTGCAATTATGGGCTCAAGAATAGCAAAGATTGTGAGGAAGGTGTAAGGCTGGGAAGTGTTTTATTCTATTGTACAAATAGTCACTGTGAGTTGCAACTGACTTGACAGCACCTAACAACAGTAATATCTTATTGGAGTCCATTGGCACAGTGATGAAAGTGCTCTGCTGCTTACCAAAAGGCTGGCAGTTAGAACCCACCAGCCACTCCTTGAGAAAAAGATGTAGCAGTTTGCTTCTGTAAAGATGTATAGCCTTGGAAACTATATAGCGTAGTTCTACTCTGTCATATAAAGTTGATAGGAGTTGGAATTCACTCAATGGCAGTAGGTTCAGAAAGAGAAACAGAGAAAATAGAAGGGTGGGGAGATGAATTATCAAAGCAACGAAAAAATAATGATATAGAATGGAAGGGCTTAAGTTTCCAGACTAAAAGGGAAGACCAGGGATGAATTAAAAAAGAATCATACTGTAAAATTAAATAACAAAAGGAAAGATAGACAATCAGAGAATCTGAGAGATGAAAAAAAAAAAAAAAAAGCCTACAAAGAACCAGTAGTTAGAATGACACTGATGATAGTTGGAAGACTAAGAAGCACTAGCGCTGAATTCTAAAAAAGGGATTTCCAACTTAGAATTCTATACCCAGCCAAACTGGCAGGATGGCACAATAGACATTTTCATGCATGTAAGGCCTCATAACATTTACCTCATCAATACTCTTTCTCAAGGAGTTAACTGAAAAAGAGTTTGCAACAGTAAAAGGGCAATTAGAAAGAAGTTTTCAGGGATCCAGAGAACAGTGCTTAACACAACCGTGTATGGGAAATCGAAAATGAAAACAACTATGAGAAGAAACAGCTAAAATAACTATCTCAAGAAAGAGATTTAGAGCTGGATCTATGTGAAATTTTAATGAAGTATATATATTACTTAGATAAAAATTTTAACAATGTTTCTTAAAGATGTCTATAGTCTCTCTAGGGAGCTCTGGTGGTGTAGTGCCTAAGGCATTTGACAGCTAACCAGAAGGTTAGTCCTTTAAATCCACCAGCCACTCCATGGAAGGAAGACTGGGCAAACTACTTCCATAAAGATTTACCACCTCAGAAGCCAAAAGGAGGCTGCTATGAGTCAGAACCAACTTGATGGCAGTGAGGTTTTTTTTTCTTCTTTCTAATACTCTCTCCAGTAATCAAAACACTTACTTGATTTCTCTTGTTCTCCAGAAGTGAAGTTTCATAGAGTTGAGCATTATGAAGAACAATACCACAGAATGCCAAATAAGCAGCAAAGTCCTAGAAAACAGATAAAGACAACAGCCAATAAGAGCTGTCTATAAAATTGTCTAGTTATAGTTCCTGAAAAACAAAAAGCATCCAAAAATATTTAGAGTCAAAATATTAAAAAGTCAAAAATATACATATCTACTCTGCATAAAATTTTAAAATGAAGAACTGATGCACAGCAAGTGTTAGTTAAATTGCATGACTAGTAAATGACAAGTCTTAACATGGTGCCCTAAGGTCATACATTAGGTATAAATTAATAAGGAAAAAGAGAGGAGCAACTAAGACACAAAACTCTTCATATAATTTAAAATAACAATTTGTTCTATGTAAAGTTTGTTGTAGTCTCTGCCTGTTATTGGGACTTGGATCTATGCTGAGACTAAAAATAGCTTATTACCGGGGCAAATGAAAGCTCACATCCTTGCTAGTAGACTATTGGCAATAATGGCTCCATATAAAATTTTAAATATTTTGTAACTTAAAGTATGTCCTTTTAAACATTGATTTATTATTCTCATATACTATTCTAGGGTAATGTCCTCACAATTATATTAATCATTGATTAAAATAAATCTTTAGAATACTATCCTTTATTTACAACTACGGATTTCTCTTTCCAAGAGGTGCTAGAACAAAAAAATGTAATTAAATTTAAGGATTTACACTGATGGACTGCAGACCAACAACAGAATACAGAGCCACTCTGGACCCATATTTTCCCACCAAATATTCTCAGGTGTCATTAATAGAATAGGAAGCTGGAAGTCTAGTACTCACATTAAAAAAGTATTTTCTATATTCTGAAGCAATTAAAATATGGAGACCAGCATAGGTGCCAGTCCAGCCTACAACATGAAGACAAAAATAACAGAACACTTTCCAAATTCAAACCTCCTACTAATTTGGGGCAAGCAACATTAATAGCAATGGGCTTGGGATAGGACGAATTCAGTGGACTTTATAATGTACCTATAATGACAGATTCAATAGGAGAAATAATAAAACCTACTGACAGAATGAAGTTGTAAACAAGTTTAAGGGCTTCAGTCCTGGAAAGCCTGTCAATTTGGTGTGTGGAATGTATTCCTTCAGAGTTGGAGGAGAAAAGTCATAAAATAATGCTGACCGCAGCTCTTTCTGAAGCAAAATTCACATCATCCAGCCTGAATTCACACCTTGGCGCCCCACCGTCTGTGTGCAGAGCTTATAAAACATTCTGAAATTTGCTTCACTAGAAGGCAATTCCAATTTTCAGCCAACCTGGAGCACTGAACTTGAAGCAGTTCCTTTATGGCTTTTTTTTTTTTTTTATTTTTAAAAACTTCAGGTCAAATTTCTTTACAGCAGTGATGAAAGGTAAATGAGACAATTAAAATACCCTAAGTCACCCTTTGTGTAGCCCCAACACGCACACAGCCCCAGCAGAGGTCTGGCTGCACAGTGCGCAGGGAGTTTGAGGCTTCTGCAAACCTGAAGAAGCAGGGATTGAATAATACAGGTACCTTTGATTCAAGGCAGTGCTGTATTTAGTGATAGGAAATATAAACTTTCAAACATTTCAGACACTTTTTAACCATAATGCTTTCATGATCAACAACTGTAAGACCAGCTAATTCTATAGGTCTATATAAACAGAGGGAGCTCTGGTAGCGTAGTGCCTAACCAGGTTGACTGCTAACCAGAAGGCTGGCGGTTCTAACCTACCAGCCACTCCTCGGAAGGAAGGTTGGGCAATCTACTTCTGCAGTGATACTGCCTCAGAAACCCAAGGAGGGGTCTCTATAAGTTGGATCCGACTCCATAGCACATAACAACAATATAAAGAGGAGTACTTGGGTGTGCAAATGGCTAACATCCTTAGCTAATAACTGAAAGGTTAGAAGCTCAAGTCCACCTAGAGATGCCTTCTAGGAAAGGCTGGGTGATCTACTTCTGAAAAATCAGCCACTGAAAACCCTGTGGAGCACAGCTCTATTCTGACACACAGGAGTCACCATGATCTGAAGTCAACTTGACAACAACTGATTTTTGTATAAAAAGAAAGCATTTTCCTTAATTGGTATCACATCAGACACAGGTTTTGGTACCTTTTCATCTTTTTCAGTGAATGTCCCACCATTTCCAGATCTCTTGTTGATGGCCTGAGCTACACCAACAACCTGGTATAAGAAGAGAAAAGTGATTAATGTTTTGTAGATGGAAATTACTGCTATAAATTCACCAAAGAGTATTTACAGAATTTTTAATTACATGTGCTTTAAAATAACTCTAAGTTACAAAAGAAAAAGAAAAAAAAAAAGCAAAAAAAAACCCCTCAGCATTTGGACTAGTTCTATGTCATTCACCACACTTTTTTTTCCCTAATGAACTTCTTGGGGTCCAAACTTTGCTTGATTTTGTGATTTCACCCTGCAGTTTGAATGAAAGTATTGCAATCACATATTATGTGAATACTTTCTATAGTTTTTGAATGAAAAAAAAGAAAAACACCAAATTTTGATTACATTTCAAATAAAATATATGATAAACATTCTTGTACTGTTGTTTATATATTATATATATTAAAGGGCTACATGTTCTTTTACCAAAAATGAAACAGAACTCTGTGACCAATCACAGACATTAAAATGTAGGACCACTAGACAAGAATAATTCATATTGTAAGGATATAGTACAATGTCTTTAGAAACTTGAAAATTACTTCAAGTCATTTTTGGGGAAAGAGGTTATTAAAAAAATCAAAACAGGAATTCAGTCTAAGTACTATTTCCAAGAGATAAGAGGTATGTGGAAGATAAATTATACCTTAAGGAGACTAAGCTAAACTCTGCAAATTTAGTTTCAACAAAAGATTTAACAAGATTTAAGAACACTATCAATTTTCTACTTGAAAAGGTGTTTTACATACCTATTTAGTTCCAACTTTAGTTTGAGGTATTACTTAAAGGCCTTCAATTTACTTCTGCTTCCTCTATTTTACTTACAAAATCTAAGTTATTCTTCCTTTCCTTCTGCAATTTAATAGCAGTGGCACAAGCTATTATCTCCTAAATGGTTCCATTTTAAAAATATGAAGCCCTTAGATTTATATGGATAGTTGATCCTTGCTTTCTCAATTCTCAGCTTACTCTAGTACCTTAGATTTAAGAAAAGGATATAAAATCTCTCTCTAGGATAGCAGAATAAGGAAGGGGAAAATGCACTCTTATCTGATGTGGTTTTCTGGTCTTCTTAACAATCACCCACTCTTGTTTTTTCAAATATGGAGTAAAAGGATTGACATATAAAGTAGAAGTGTCCAATTATCCAGTCTCTTTTAACACCCTTAATTCTTCTCTCCTTTATTCTTCATATAAACTTTAGCTCTTCAAAAAAGTTAACAGACTTCTATATGCAACAGCCTCAATGGCTAAGTGCCTAGGAAAGCACTTCTCTAATGTCAAAATATGTCTGGATAGGCATGCTCCCTTGAAATATAATTGATAATAACCACTTGAGGGTCAACGGGGTCTAATATATGGTGGCATCAGTATAACTAAGTTATTTTAAGTGTTCATTCATCCATTAATTCAATCATTCATTCACTCAACCAAAACTGAAGTGCCTAATATGTGCCAAGTGGTGATAAAAATGAGGGAAAAGACCACCCTGAAGGAGCTCACAATCAAGAATGGGTGATACATACACCTACAGCACAGTAGGATAGCCTAATCAGTTTTATGATACAGATGTCCACAGACTGCTACGAACAGAGGGAGCATCTGATGCAGGTAAAAAGAGAAGGCGTTCCAGGCACAGTGACATTTGAGAGTTTGTCTTTAAGAAACAGATCCAAATTTTAAATCTTCATTTTAAGGAAGATGAGCTTTAACAGATATGGAGACTGATATGAAAACTTTTTAGATAATTGAACAGTATAAAAAGCACATACTGATATGCTATTTGTACCCAGACCTGTGTGAAGCAACGGACAAAGCAAGCAAGTAAGGAGACAGCTTCTGTTGACTCAAAAATATATGTGGACAAAAAGCTAACTGCTTATTAAATGACCAATAATTAAATTGTATTCATATTTTAGACTATCATTATAGACTCAAGAAAAAGAGGGAAATCACCCGTGTAATGTGTTTTCTAAAAATAAAGTTGGTCAGATTAGATTATTAGAGACCTTTGTAAATGAGGTCAAAGACTGTGTGGGCCAATTAGCTCACATGGTCCCTGTCTGCAGGCTGCAGATACCCTTAACTTAGTCAATGGTCTTTAGACTGGTTGACTGAAAAATGAATTGGAATGGTAGGGAAGAGCTGGAAGGGAAGAGGGTATAAATGTTTTGTTGAAGGGTCAGTGAGCATCAGTCCTTATTAGAAAAGCAAAACCCAAGCATACTATTCTCAATGGGTTGGCAGCATCTTCATTTAAGTAGAAGAGTGCCTAAAACAAGGCTTTCTCAGTAGACAAAAAGATGGTCCCTAGAGTTGTTCCCTTTATTAAAACCTATATCCCTGAAAAACTAAGTCATCTGCACCACTATACAATTTAAGTTTTAATCTTCATGTTTTACACTCAGGAATATTTATAAAATAAGCATTATTTCTAATGAGGTCTTTGTCTCTGGTTACAAGAACAATGTCCTTGGAACTGTACTGAGTAGACTCCATTATTCACAATTTTCAACCAACACAATAGTGTTCATACAAATTAAAAACTAAATTTCACTTCTAGAATTTTACATAATTCATTTTTTTCTAATTTGCTCTTTCTTGTTTCCCTTTAAATATTGGACCATTTCCTCCCTCTCTCTCTCTTTGAACATAAGTATTTTAAAGTCTCAGATTTTTCTACCATCTCTAATTTTTGGGAAACAAGGTCTCCTATTTGTTGCATCTGCTAACTCTCCTTCACTTGATTTTTTTCTCATATTGTTTACAGTTTTGACTGTTAGGTAATTCTAGGCAATTCTAGATTCTCCATGAAGAGTCCCATGTTTCCTGAGGCATGAGGTATCTATATATAGTGAGTTCCTATTTGTCTTTGTTCTACACTGGTGGTGTGAATTTGAACTCCGTACCTGTATGTGGCATAGAGTTGTGCTCTTATGGTTCACAGCTCTCTCTTTCCTCTCCCTCAGTTGAAGGCAGAAGCCAAGCTCCCCTGCTGCTTCTCCAGGTGTCTGATGAAGCTTTGCCTAGACTGGTTTCATAGATGGAACCTTCATAGATCTAGATTTTTCTTGGGATTTTATTTCCAGTTTCTTCCCCCACACCATGCTCCCCTTGTCCCCCCTAGACCTTCTACCATCCTATGTGTGGCATGGCATCATCATCTCAGGTGGATGTTAACCTTAAATACTGAGGCTACACCTGAAACTCATATCCCCATGAATCCATTTGGCTTTTGATTTCACTCTCTTTTCTTGCTGTGAATTCCCTTCTGTTTCTGGCACCTCGGGGTCTCCCTTTTCTTGATTTAAAAAAAAAATATATATATGTATATAATTTTGTTTTTGGTAAAATTTTTAAATACCACTTCTTCTACTGTTTGGAACATGGGGAGTATTCTTGTAATGTTTCTACATTTGTTCAGTCTGGTAAACTGACCAGAAGCCTTGTTCTTAGGGTTCAAAACTGTATAGCCCCTAAATACCAAGTCTTTAATGCTATATTTAATTTTTTTGTTTATATACTAAAGCAAAATATTTACCATCTGGCAACTTGATGGAATGACATCTTCCAGCAATGGGTTTTTACCCTTTCTGGTAAACAACTGTATCCCTCACTAATGATTTTATAGACTGATATACTAGAGTTTAATTTAAGAGATGATTAATTAAACATAATTGGTATTAAAAGCAAACAAACAGGCAAGTTCTTTTAAGAGACCATTAGGCCAGAAAATTATATCTAATATGTTTATGTACCTCTGTTCAAGAATGACATTTTAAAAACAGTGCTACTTTAGGTTGACTATTTTAAGTGAGGAAATACAGAAAGGAAAAATGGTTTATGGTGTGACCAAGGTCCCAAAGACAATAAAAGACAAAGAGCGGTTTAACTCTTGGAATTTCAAGGACACTGAGCAAAACCAGCACCCTCTGTCCCTCTTGTAAATATATAAAGGACCTCCTTCTTCTTTCATTTATTGTTCGTTTAAACAAATTAGTTCACTTTCTTCAAGCCAAGTAGCTGCTAACCATAGGTTTTTTCAAAATGTCAGTTTTCAAAGATAACGTAAGTATATGGAAAATTTCCTATCTGAGAATCAAAGCTCTTAACAATGTTGGCTTCTGTATCAGAAAGCCCATTTACTTATGCATACCTGCAGGGTACCTGTACCCTCAGATGCTGATACTCTATGCTCCCCCACCCCTGCCCCAGCACAAAGGAGCCTTCCTGTTTTCTATTTTACTGGCATTTTCCACAGCATAAATGGGTATTATATCCTCAAAGGCTCGACTGTACTTTTAGGAATGTGAAGTGAAAGACTCAACTCTTGGGTAAGCAGTGTGGAATGTGACAGCTGGTGGTTTCAGGGGCAACCAATCACTGCCACAGTGAGCAATTTCTTCAATCAGCAGCTGCCCCAGATACTTACTGAGGCCATACATCAATCCCAATACATTTCCCCATTCCCTGTTCCAGAGGATGCATATAGTAGAGACTGAAAGCGGGGGGGGGGGGGGGTGGGAATGACGACGACCATGAAATACGTTGGTACAGTCTCTACAGATTTCAGCAATCCCTCTTTCCTACCCAGTAGAATATCTCCATACAAATGCAGGACTCTATATAGTCTATAACCTGAGCCAAACACCACACTTTTTCAATCTCTTCCTTGACTCAGTCATTTATTCAGCAACAAATATTTTACTCAAATAATTGCCTGCTACATACTAGCCACAGATCTAGACAGTGGAGAAATATTCTTGTCTTCCTGGAGCTGACATTCTAGTCAGAGATTGTTGCACCTAGAAGGGAATCTCACCCCCATACTTTTTCCACCCTTGTTTTACTGATAAGCGAACTGAAAATGAGAGGGCTGGCATGACCAACCAAGTCTTTTTTTTTTTATACTTCTCTTCCAAATCCTAAACTATCACCAAATTATTATGTGGTAGTTACAAAATTATGATGTGATTGTTAGGTAAACTAATGGTCCTTTC